CGGTGCCAGCCGCTCCCAGAGTCCGGGGAGGGTACCGGACTCCGGATCAGGGCTGAGGCCTACTTCCTCGGGCGCGTCCTCTGTCTCTCGTTGCTGACGCAGACGGCGGAGGGCGCTTGCCAAGCGGCTGGGCGAGGCGCTGCGGCCGCGGAGCTCTCCCAGCACCTGGTCACGGTAGAAGTCTTCGGCGCAGGTGCCGTGCGCCCGATAGCAGCGCAGCGAGCAATAGGGCACATTACAACGAGGGCAGGTGTAGCGTGCCGGCTGGGCCTCCCCAGCGGGGCAGAAACCACAGGGCCCGGTCGGCTCCATGGCAACTGGTGCCGCGTGCGCCCTCGGAGTTCACATGTGTGGGAGCCCCGTATATCAGCTTCCGGGGCTTCTTCCGGCACTTTCGCTTCTTTGCTAGACCGACGGAATGCTCAGATTAAAAAGCTCCCCAGAATTCTAAGCAACTTCCGCCCACACTCAAAAAGGCCAAGCCCCACCCCTATCCCAACTAGCTCTAGGACAGGCGTAGAAGCCGGCCGTCACGTACGAGCCCCGCCCCGCACAGTGACGCAGTGAGATCGGAAAAACGCTCAGGGCAAGCGCTCCGCCGGTCCCAGCTCGCCCCCTAGTGATTGTACCAAAATGTGGCTCAAGTTGCCTAAAAGATAAAAACCTCAATGCTTTTGACACCCTGAAGCTCTGCGGCAGAAACCCATCTTTGCTGCACCTACTCTGGGACGCCAGTTGTGCTAGGCCTACGGGAGATGAGATGTCCTTGCATGGGAGGTGCAGCCATTCCACTAGGAGGGCATAGACGAATGAACGGAGAGCAGCGATGAGGGCACCTAGCCTTGGCTGATGTGTACTGGGGTATTTCACGTCAGCAGAAAACAGTATTTAAAATATCTGAGCTCCTTTTTGAATTCTTCCTCCAAATCTTTCATTAAGTAATACCATCATTCATTCAACCTCAAAACGCAGACTACATACTAGACACCAAGAACAAAATGAAGATAACGAGATGGGCACTGCCACCGTAAGGAAACGCTCTGAGATGCCGAGACTATACAGACTATCCCAGGTTCATGCCGAAAGCCTCTCTATACAGGTAGGGTACACAAGTGCCCATGATCCTGGCTGGCTGAGGCTGGGGGTGGGATCACAGCATGAAGACCCTATTAGCGGTGTCTCTTCTCTAATGGAGAAACTAAATTGTCTTTTTTTCTTTTTTTTTTAAGGTTTTTGATATAGGGCGCATGCACTCTCCAAAAAGACAGAGACAGAAGGCGAGAAGTCACTCCCCACATGCTGCAATCCCTTCTCCTCCATTCTCCTCTTAGGATCTTGGGCACGCACGCACACGTGCCTGGCGTGAGTTTAAGCCACCGGGTCCGGGACTTGAACCACGGTTATGGGAGTCCAGGGACATAGCCATAATACTAACTGCTGGTCCCAGAGAAACTAAATTTAATAAATGTGTCCTCCAAGTGGGTAGTTAAGACATTTTAAAAAGGGGTCGGCAGGTGGCATGGTGGTTAGAGGTGCTAGATTCCTACATCCACCATGGTTTGAGTCCTGGACGTGGTGGCCTTTCTCTTTGTCAAATTTAAAATATTAAGTGGAATTAAATAAATAAGTGAAAAAAAAAAAAAAAAGAAAGAGGGAGATAGGGTCGCTATCCTAATAAATCTTAGTCTTGTGAACCGGCGGCCATGAGCCACAGAATTGTCAAGCACAGTGAAGTCGTGACCCACCACACCCTTCAAAGCAATCTCTGGTTTCTTTTTTTTTTTTTTTTAGCAAGTGGTGATAGGGAAATAGTTTTTTTAAATTTTATGTATTCATTCATTTTATTTTAATTTGATCAGAGAGAGACAGAGAGAGGGAAAGTGAGAAAGCAAGCCGCCAGGCCCAAGACTTGAACCATGGTCAGCCATGTGGGTGTGTCCAGCACCTTAACCACCACGCCACCTGCTGGCCCCAATCTCTGGTTTCTTAATCCCTTTATTTTATATCCAATCCCATATCCTGTCTATATGCCTCCAAAATACCTTGTGTTTATTTTTTCATATTTAAAAAAAATATTTTAAAACATTCAACCATTGTTATCATTTGGCTTATAAAGAGAACTCACCTGACAATGAAGTACTTCTCAGACCAGTCTGGTTGAGAATATATGTTATCAACAAGCAATAAACCATTTCTATGTCCCACAAATGTCTCTATACTTTTCCCTTCTCACCCCACTTCCACGTTGTCTTCAGCGTCCATAACCCTTGTGTTTATCATTTTTTTTTTTTTGAGACTTTTTTTGCTATAGGGTGCGTGCACTCTCCAGAGAAACAGAGAGATAGAAAGTGAGAAATCATCCTCCAGGGGGGATGGCCACACCGCAATTCCTTTATCTCCATTCTCCTCTCGGGATATTGGGCACGCATACACCCGTGCCCGGTGTGTTTTAAGCCACTGGGTCCGATAAGCGAACCGCGGTCTACTTACTACATGGGAGTCCAACAACATAGCCATTACACTAACTGCTGGTCCCTTCCCTTGTGTTTATTTTGATATATTTCCCTACCAAGATTTTGATGAGCTTGAAGTAGTAGTTGCATTTTAACTACTACTGGTAACATAACTGCCTCACCTGGATGAAGAAAGCTTACATAGCTGGTTTCTGGTTCCTTTCTGGCTAGTCCCCTACACCTCCCTGCCCCCCCCCCCAAAAAATCAGCCAGAGGAAGTTAGGTCACAAGTCAGAAATTAGCCTCTTGCTTAAAACCCTTCCATGGGGGTCAACAGATGGCATGGTGGCTAATGTGCTGTACTCCTAAGTGGTGGACTGCAGTTGGAGTCCTGGGCTGGTGGCTTGCTTTCCTTTCTCACTTTCTCTCTTCTCTCTCTGGTCAAATTAATACTACTAAATAAAATAAAATAAAATAAAATAATTCTCCTTAAAATTTTATTTATTTTAATTTGATCAGAGAGAGACAGAGTTGAGAGTGAGAGAGAGAAAGACGAAAAGTGAGAAAGTAAGCCTCCGGGTCCAAGACTTGAACCACAATTGTCCATGGGGGAATCCAGCACCCTTAACCACCACGCCACCTGCTGGCCCCTAAATAATTATTAAAAACAAAACAAAACAAAACAAAAAACCCTTCCCAAACACAAATCCCTCTCCATGGCAGACATGACCTTCCAGAATCTGCACCTGCCCCTAGATCTCACTTGTTTCTGCCTCTACAGTTCTCTTGGCTGAAAAGACTTCTCATCATCACTTGGCTATTTCAGGTTTTGCACATTTTATTTCTTCAGAAAGCTTCCCTAGGGATGCTGTGTCAGTACACATCTTCTATCTCTTTCATTACAGCACCCTTTCTTTCTTAGAGGCCACAACACTTTAACTTCTTCCCTTTCCCCCCAAAAAAACTAAACTGCCAGAAGGCAGAGCCAAGTCTCTATTTTTTTTTTGAGAGATTTTCACTGTAGGGCGCGTGCGCTCACCAGACAGACAGAGAGAGACATAGAGACAGAAAGCGAGAAATCACCCCCCAGGGGGGATGGTCACGCCACAATCCCTTCTCCTCTTCTCCTCTCAGGATCTTGGGCACGCACGCACACGCGCCCGGCGTGAGTTTTAAGCCACCGGGTCCGGGACATAAACCGCGGTCGACTACGTGGGAGTCCAGCGACATAGCCATTACGCTAACTGCTGGTTCCCATCAAGTCTCTATTTTTTAATCACAAGAGACAAAAGTAGCCAATATTTATTTGCACTCACTGTAAGCCAAGTGCTGATCTATGCCTCCAAGGCGGGGGCGGGGGTGTCAAATCAAGTTGAGCCCAAGGCTATGTCCAGTATACCACAAATGCCAAGAACCAGGGATTCAAACACTAATTGAATGAATGAGTGGTGTACAAACCTGCTGAGAGTCTCAGCTGAAGAAACCTTAAGTAAGACTAGAGGAACTCTACTTTTAGGAGTAGTGAAGCGATCAACTATCCAAACATACCCGTGCTTTGGTCAGCAAAGCCAGCCAGGCAATCAGATAAACAAGGTCACCAATCCCAATCCCAATCTACTAAAACAATATTGATTTCCAGGACCCAGCAGACCAGGTTCCTGCCCTGGGATCTACTAAGGCCATAGGTGGTCCCTGTCCAGGAACTAAATCGGTATCTTCCAATTCATTTTCTTTTTTTGAGTTTTTTTTTGCTATAGGGCATGTGTGCTCACCAGAAAGACAGAGATGGAAAGAGAGAAATAACTCCCCAGGAGGAATGGCCATGCTGCAATCCTTTCTCCTCCATTCTCCTCTCAGGATCTTGGGCGCGCGCACACACATGCACCTGAGTTTAAGCCACCAGGTATGGGACTCAAACAATGGTCGACTACATGGAAGTCCAGTGACATAGCCATTATGCTAACTGTTGGTCCCTTCCAATTCATTTTCTAGCCAAATCCTTTTCCTTCCTTCCATTGCTGCCTCCATAACAACCCCCCAACCACAATGATTCCTGCTACCTTCTCTGTTTAGATATAAAAGGGGGTGACCATCCCTCTTGGGAGGTGATTTCTTGCTTTGTTTCTCTAGTTGAGCACACATGCCCTATAGTAAGTCTTTAAAAAAGAAAAGTGTGGAGAAAGTTTTTTCAGGGCATCCCCAAATATACATAGGATGGGTTGGCATCTGAGATTACTGATTTCTCACAGGAAACCTCTTTTACCACTATTGCCCAGACCCTGGGCCCACAGACCTTGCCTTTTCTGCTTTCACTGTTCTAGCAGAGACACCACCAGTCCTTGAAGGCATACCTTCCTCTGAATCCCTAAAAATAAAGCTGAACGATGAGATAACTGGGCTAAGTGGCTTTATTAGAGAAAGCCAAAGTTACAAAGGACTTAAGAGTTGGCATTGGGGCCCTTCTTCTTGCCAAATGTGGGCACAACATTGACAAAGCGCCGGTTGTACTGCATTCGCCGCTTGGCCCGGCCTGTCTTCTTCTTCTTCTTCTCCTGTTTGGCCACCTGGGAACAGGGAGGGCTGATCAGATCTTGGTTGACCTCTTTCAAGCCTGCCATTCTTTCCCTTTTCCTCCAAGGAGGAAGAACACGGATGGGTCAAGAGTCTTTGTTTGGCTTTGCTGTGATAGGAGAAAGAAGCCAAACATCACCCAACACTCTTACTCACCTTGGGTGTCTGACCTCTCACTTTCCCCGCACGGGCCAGGGAACCATGGACTTTACCTGCGGTGGGAAAGAACAGCAGCAGTTAAGAGGGCAAGAAGGTACTCCCAGCCTTCTCTCTCCTCTCTTAACTCAAACCAGCTAGAGGCCAGCTGGTGGTATGGTGGTCAAGGTGCTGGATCCCACACTGTCAACCATAGTTCAAGTTCCAGACCTAGAGGCAAGTTTCCTTTCCTTTTCCTTTTATTTCTCCCCACCCCTCTACCCCAACCATCTTTCTCTGGTCAAATTAAAAAATAATAATAATAGAGGCCACTAGGTGGTGTGGTGTTTAAAGGCACTGGACTCCCACATGGCTGACCACGGTTCGAGTCCAGGACCTGGCAGCTTGCTTTCTCACTTTCCCTCTCTCTCACTCTGCCCCTCTCTGGTCAAATTAAAATATAAAATAAAGTTAAACAAAATAACTAAAAGAAAAAAGTTAGATAAATAATTTTTAAAAATCCAGCTAAATCCAACAGGGAATGTGACCTAATTACAGATTTGACATCTGATTGTGGTTCACTTTTAATTTCCCAGTTCCTGTCTTAAAACAAGTACTGGAGAACACCCTGGGGATCTCCTGGTTTTAGAGAGAAAACAGAGTCAGACAAAAGTCTAAATAACTGAAACAAAACTACACTCCAGCTCAGTCTCCCAAGGAACTCTCAAGTGTTCATTCTGAGGGAGATAAACAGGAATAGTCACCCTGGAATGAGGACACTAGAAACTGCCGGTCTAAGCTCTCCACACTCATAGGAGCTGACAGAAGGTTCAAAGAACGCTCCGCCCTTACCTCCCAGCATGCGGCCTGCTACTTCCAGAGTAGTCAGGGCCTCCACCCCACACTGGCCCAGTGTCGCCTCATCCTCCAGGGGTGTGCCTGCCAGGAGTATGACCTGATCTTCAGGGGCGATGCCCTCCAGTGAGGATACATGAGCCTACAGGGAAAAAGATTATGCTCGTAAGCGTTTCCACAGCGCGCGAGGGCTTCGAGCACAAGAGAATGGAGCCCAAGGCGCGTCACACCTTACCTTGATCTGGGCGACCGTCTCCTGGCCGGTCACCTCAAGGGTATGTAGCTCCTGGGCGCGAACAAAAAGCTGCATGTCGGCGACTGAGTCAAACAAAAAGGCCTGTAAGAGAAGTGGTCGTTGGGGGTATCAGAGGATGGGAAGTAACCGAGGAACTACAAAAGTGGTCGCCGTGTCTCACGTGGGGAAGGCCAGGCCGGCCAGGGTGCTCGGTCAGAAACTGAAGCCAGGGCCACAGAGCAGCCCCTATTCTTCGACTTCCCCAGCACCTTCTGACCTTGCGGCCAGCCAGCTAGTAGGCCCTTCGGCTCCACCCGTAGTCCAAATCTTACCTGAATCGCACTCCCAGCTGCCGCTACCGCGAAGATGGAGTCGAGAAAGAGGAAGAAGCGAGGGCGCGCACGTCCCCAGCGCCTGCTGCGTGCCACGTCACTGCTGAGCGACCGCTCTAACCCCTGATTTTGGTACCGCCCACGGCCGTCCTGGCTCCGCCTCTTTGCCCTTCGCGCAGGCGTTTTTTAACACCAGCCAGCGCGCGCAGGCGGCGGGAGGGGCGGGACCAAGCCGGCTGTGCACGCATACGGCTAGTTTGGAGAGCAGTCCAAGATGGCGGCGGTCGCTCTCCGGGCTACGCTGCGGAGCTGGAAAACCGGCGTCCAGTCGGGCTACGGGCTGCGACGGCAGGTGAGAACGCTGAGCCTCTAACTGAGGGTAGAGGGATGGGTGTGACGCTCACTGTTACTCGTTGTAACCTTACTTGGATCCTTCGTCTTCCTGTCCAGTCGGAGACATTTGTCTCGCGCATAGACGAAAGATTAAGAGGGAAGGCGGCAGAGTGCGCTTTGGGAGTGTGAGGGTTGGAATTTGGCTCCAGAAGAGCCCGGCTTAATTAAGACTGAGAGGAACTGCAAATGGTAGGTTGCCGCCTCATTATTCCAAGGATAGAAAGCCAACCCCAGATTATGGGCAACACTTGGAACCTGGAGCTGCTAGTATGTATGCGACTTCGTGCTGCTTACCCCCTCCAGTCGCAATCCCCGGCCTATAATGGCTCTGGGGTAATTTAGAAAGGTCCAAGAGGAATCATTAGGTTGGAGGATGGGGGAATAGACACTGGAGTGTTAACCTAAAAATCGAAAGCTTAAAATTAAAAAAAAAATTGGCAGAGGGTGCGTGCACTTGCTAGAGAAAGTGAGAAAACACCGCCCCCACTTCACCCCTTAGTTCTTTCTCCATCTCTTCCTCTTCTCAGGATTTTAGATGCACACATGTGTTTCTCAAGCCTCTGGATCCACCATAGTGAGCCATGTAGGATCTAGCAGCCTTGACCACCATGCCACAGGCTGGCCCATAATTATTTTTTAGTGGCAGGTTTTTTTGTCTGTAAACAGGGGTTAATACAGTGCCTAATTTGTCACTTTAAAGTGAAAACAATGCTTGGGAAGCCTTTAGTGCAGTGCTTGATGGTATCTGTCTCAAGCCAATACTTTCCAGATAAAGGGCAAGTCCTGTTCTCTGTGTTTTCACAGTATATTCAGAAGAAACTTTTAAATATTGAAAAGTGCTTTTTTTTTTAACAGTTTTTGCCGTAGGGCACATGTGCCCTCTAGAGAGACACAGAGAGCTAGAGAAAGTGAGGAATCCCTCCCCACAAGGAGGGATGACTGCTCCACAAATCCCTTCTCCATTCTCTTCTCAGGATTTTGGGAACCCATGCACACGTGCCCAGCATGATTTTCAAGCCACCAGATTTGAGACTTGCAGTTGACCATGTGAAAGTCCAGTGGCCAGCTGCCCTGTATTGGTCATTCTTAAGATCAGGTTTTTTGAAGTATACGCTCATTTGAGTCCCACAAAAATCCCAAGAGAAGCAGGCTGTTCAGAGTGTCTAAGCTCCTTTTTTGTTCCCGCCAGAGCCCCACCACCCTGGAAAGCCAAATTCTGGTGCTTTCCTATCTCTAACCTTTTATTTCTGTCATTCTATCTGCCTGTAATCATCTCCTCTGTCTTCTTACTAAAGTACAATGTTACCCAAGAGGCCAACAGGTAGCATGGTGGTTAAGGTGCTAGACTCTCACACGGCTGACCACAGTTCTGTTGCTGGCCCCAAGGGCTTGAAAATCATGCCTGGCGTGTGTGTGTGTGACATAGGGCATGCGTGTGCTCAAGATCCCCAGAGAATGAAGGAGAAGGGATTGGGGCATGGCTATTCCTGGGGCCGGTAATTTCTTACTTTCCCTCTTTTCAGTAAGCACATGTACCCTATGGGATGAACTTAAAAAAAAAAGAAAGAAAAAAAATTACTACCCATCCTGCATTGGGTAGGCTAATGGAGAGATGTTTTGTTTTGTTTTGCCTGCAGAGCCAGACCCAGCAGCCTCCTGATTACCCCAATTTTGTGGAGTCAGTGGATGAATACAAGTTTGTGGAGCGCCTGTTACCCCCCACCAGCATCCCAAAGCCCTCAAAGCATGAACATTATCCCACCCCAAGTGGCTGGCAGCCTCCTAGAGGTGAGCTGGATGATGGAGATGGTTTGAAAACTGCATGGAAACTTCCTGTCCCCAGTGGTTGGTCTGCCCCAGCTGAAGCTCTGTGACCCCACTGCTTTCAGTACTCAATGTGGGGGACCAGCAGTTAGCGTAATGACTATGTCGCTGAACTCCCATATAGCCGACTGCAGTTTGAGTCCTGGACCAGTGGCTTAAACACACGCCGGGCGTGTGTGTGCGCGTGCCCAAGATATAGAGAGGAGAGTGGAGGAGAAAGGATTGTGGCATGGCCACCCCTGATTTCTTGCTTTCTGTCTGTTTCCTGGCGATCACATGTGCCCTATAGCAAATAACCTCTCCAAAAAAGAAAAAAAAAAACCTCAATGGTGGCAATCCCTCAGGGTTAGCGTATGTCTTATGCCCAAGGAAGGGACCAGGAGTGCCGCCTTCTGTTTCACTGGTATCTTTGTCTACCACTGGGATGGAGTTTTCCCATGTGGGGAATAATTTGTCACTTTAAAGTGAAAACAATGCTTGGGAAGCCTTTAGTGCAGTGCTTGATGGTATCTGTCTCAAGCCAATACTTTCCAGATAAAGGGCAAGTCCTGTTCTCTGTGTTTTCACAGTATATTCAGAAGAAACTTTTAAATATTGAAAAGTGCTTTTTTTTTTAACAGTTTTTGCCATAGGGCACATGTGCCCTCTAGAGAGACACAGAGAGCTAGAGAAAGTGAGGAATCCCTCCCCACAAGGAGGGATGACTGCTCCACAAATCCCTTCTCCATTCTCTTCTCAGGATTTTGGGAACCCATGCACACGTGCCCAGCATGATTTTCAAGCCACCAGATTTGAGACTTGCAGTTGACCATGTGAAAGTCCAGTGGCCAGCTGCCCTGTATTGGTCATTCTTAAGATCAGGTTTTTTGAAGTATACGCTCATTTGAGTCCCACAAAAATCCCAAGAGAAGCAGGCTGTTCAGAGTGTCTAAGCTCCTTTTTTGTTCCCGCCAGAGCCCCACCACCCTGGAAAGCCAAATTCTGGTGCTTTCCTATCTCTAACCTTTTATTTCTGTCATTCTATCTGCCTGTAATCATCTCCTCTGTCTTCTTACTAAAGTACAATGTTACCCAAGAGGCCAACAGGTAGCATGGTGGTTAAGGTGCTAGACTCTCACACGGCTGACCACAGTTCTGTTGCTGGCCCCAAGGGCTTGAAAATCATGCCTGGCGTGTGTGTGTGTGACATAGGGCATGCGTGTGCTCAAGATCCCCAGAGAATGAAGGAGAAGGGATTGGGGCATGGCTATTCCTGGGGCCGGTAATTTCTTACTTTCCCTCTTTTCAGTAAGCACATGTACCCTATGGGATGAACTTAAAAAAAAAAGAAAGAAAAAAAATTACTACCCATCCTGCATTGGGTAGGCTAATGGAGAGATGTTTTGTTTTGTTTTGCCTGCAGAGCCAGACCCAGCAGCCTCCTGATTACCCCAATTTTGTGGAGTCAGTGGATGAATACAAGTTTGTGGAGCGCCTGTTACCCCCCACCAGCATCCCAAAGCCCTCAAAGCATGAACATTATCCCACCCCAAGTGGCTGGCAGCCTCCTAGAGGTGAGCTGGATGATGGAGATGGTTTGAAAACTGCATGGAAACTTCCTGTCCCCAGTGGTTGGTCTGCCCCAGCTGAAGCTCTGTGACCCCACTGCTTTCAGTACTCAATGTGGGGGACCAGCAGTTAGCGTAATGACTATGTCGCTGAACTCCCATATAGCCGACTGCAGTTTGAGTCCTGGACCAGTGGCTTAAACACACGCCGGGCGTGTGTGTGCGCGTGCCCAAGATATAGAGAGGAGAGTGGAGGAGAAAGGATTGTGGCATGGCCACCCCTGATTTCTTGCTTTCTGTCTGTTTCCTGGCGATCACATGTGCCCTATAGCAAATAACCTCTCCAAAAAAGAAAAAAAAAAACCTCAATGGTGGCAATCCCTCAGGGTTAGCGTATGTCTTATGCCCAAGGAAGGGACCAGGAGTGCCGCCTTCTGTTTCACTGGTATCTTTGTCTACCACTGGGATGGAGTTTTCCCATGTGGGGAAAAGTGAAGCAGAGAGGATTCAAGAGCTTGACTGTCCCTTCCCCACGCAGACTCTATACCATAATTGAGAGCATAGTTCAGAAGTTGGGTAGTTTTAGGTTTGAATTTGGCTCAGCTCTTCCCTGCCAGTTTCATCTCGAGTTAGTCACTTAGTTTCTCCCAACCTGTTTTGAGAAAATGGAGATTCTGCTCAATGCATAAGGCACTTGGTGCAGATCCCAGCATAAGGCAAACACATTCAGTGCCTGTAAATGCCCGTTCTTATTTTGGAGGTGGATGTCAGCCTCCCTCACCTGGTAGAAAAGGGCAAAGATTGGGCCCAGAGGAGAACCCAAAGATCCAGGGAGGCTTGGCCCTATTTTTTCATGAGCATCTATTCTGTACCAGGCCCTGTGCACAGGGCCTTGGGGTATCATGTGAATTATTTGGTCCTTACTCTAAAAGGAGATTCTCTGTCCTGAAGTCTACAGATGTCTGGTTCCAGCTGGGTGCATTGATTCTGCAGACTATGGGGAGAAGGGCCGTGGCTGATGTGGGATGAGAACTAGAGAGTTGACTTATCACCATTCCTTCCTGTCACAGACCCCCCACCCAAGCTGTCCTACTTTGTGCGGCGCTCTCGGATGCACAACATCCCCGTCTACAAGGACATCACACATGGCAACCGCCAGATGACTGTGATCCGGAAGGTGGAGGGAGACATTTGGGTAAGTAGGTGGGTGGGCCAGGGTCCTTTCAGGGATGAATGGAGGGGAGTTCTCTAGAGGGAGGAACGCATGACCAGGCCTGACTTGTCATCTTCCCCCAGGCCCTGCAGAAGGATGTGGAAGAGTTTCTGAGCCCACTGCTGGGGAAGACACCTATCACCCAAGTCAATGAGGTGACACGTACCTTGCGGGTCAAGGGCTACTTTGACCAGCAGCTCAAAGCCTGGCTCCTGGAGAAGGGCTTCTGAGAACCAGCTGAGAAGCCTGCATGACAGCCTTCCCCCCAGACTGGAATCCAGGGGACTTGAAGGAGAGGCGAATTGGGTGTTGAAGCCCCTGGGACAGGGTATAGAGACATCAGGGCCAAGAGCTTGGGCAGGGCAGAGTGCAGGCCTAACCGGCTTCAGGATGAGGCCTTATGTAACAAGAAAACGAGGCATTGTGCACTAGTGTCAGCACTGGAAGAGAAACACCAAGCTAGGGGAGAGCATTGGCTTTGTCCCTCTTCTTTCCTTTCATTGCAGCTCCATGGCTTGGCCACTCAAATCCAGGGGTTGTTGTCCAATGGAAGTCATAAAGCCAGTTTAGGAGAGCGTAGCACCTCATAGGCACATTCCTTCTCTGATCTTTGGAGTTCACTGCTACCAACATTTCCAAGCCTTACCTTGAGGCAGACCTGGCTTTGAGGCTATGGAGAACAGGCCTTTGGTCCTAGAGGTCTTAAAAGTTCAAGTGCAGTGCTGGGCTCAGAACATAGGGTCCATGTCACTGGGCTCTTTCTACCTGATGGAGGGGTAGGAGGCCCAGTTCAAGGCCTCAGTCTGTTCTAGGCCAGAGTTGAGCCTGACTGGGTTCCCAGCCCCAGGTGGTTTAATATGATTAGTTTTGATTGGCCTGACCACAAGGGGGTGCCAAGGAGCTCCTTGTAGCCTAGCACAGGACCATCCTCAGCCACCTGCTGACCTGATGGGGTTTGTGGGCAGGAAAACACTGGCCTTTGGCTCCTGCCTCTAGCCAACTAGCCTTCACACTTGCACCATCCTTGGAGTCACAGGAACCCAAGGCCTGAGTTCCCACCTCAGCCTCAAACTGGCTAAGATAGCACTCAGGTCCTGGCTCCCACACTTGGTCTCTGATCTAAAGCAGGGTACTTACTGACTCTCTGGGAGAAATTTCCATATGTAAAATGGTATATCCTAATTGTCAACAGTGTCCCTGTGCTGGTTACATGTAAGCCCTCACTCCAGGAGATCCTAAGGCCATTTCCTTTTCAAGCCTTTGGCCTCAGGAAGGGAAGTGACCTTTGACACACTGATCCTTAGGACACAAGTCCCCACAATCATAATGCAAGTTTTTATTTGGCTGTATATACAATTTAAGCTATTAAAATTTGTACAATATTTACAAATTAAATAATCATCTGAAACTGTCTCCAGCAACTCTTGTAACACAAAAATTGGGGTGGGGGGGGACAGGCAGGCCAGCTTTGGCTCCTATTGACCCAACCCTGGCCTGGAGCCTATTCTAAACTGGAAAGA